CAGGGCAGGCCATGCTGGCCTGGGGGCAGCCGGGGAGCGCCGGGAGGCCCGCGCAGTGGCCACCTGTGAGGCCCCCATGGCCCATCGCGGGGCTGTCGCAGGCTCCACCCTGGCTGTGCCTGTGACAGCCCTCCTGCCCTCTGGGGTGGCGAGCCCCGTTCCCTCGCGTCTCGGAGATGCCCCTGAAGTACATGCTGGACGCGGCTCCCCAAAGCCCCGCGACAGACGAGGACCGGCGGGGTTTCTGTCCTTCAGCGGACCCTGTGGTTGCAGGCCCTGCTTGGCATGTGGCCGGAGTATGTTCTGAAGGTGCCTCGGAGGGGCTCAGGGTCGGCCTCCCGCGCGGGTCTGCAGGAGCCCCAAAGGGCAAGCGTTTGTACCGTACCAGTTCTTGTTTATGCTCACCCAGAGGAGAGAGGGACAGTGAGGAAGCACCCGCGGGACGCGGCCACCCTGGCCCCGTCTCCACCTCCCTTCTCTCGGGAGTTTGGGTGCACATGCCCCACGTTTATTTCCAAGTCTGGCCGGCCCACAGGTGGAGTCCTCCAGAGGCGACGGCTCCAGCTGCGGCCACATCGCCTGTGGCCCCACAAGGGCCGTGTGAGCCAGCTCCTCACCCGGGTCAGCTCCCTCCTCCCACCCATCTGAGCTGCGGAGGCTTGGGGTGAGCCGAGGTGACTCCCCTCTTCACCACCCCCCCTAGCGTCCTGGCCCCTCCTGGCCCTCTCATTTCCACGGGGGCTCGTGGAGCCTGTGGCCGTCTGGGCCGCGGGCTGCACTGCAGTGTGGGGGTCCGACCACTCACCCTAGCCCTCACCAGGCTGTCTGCAGCCCTTTGCCTGCAGGGTTCCAGTTTTTGCTTTTTCCAGAGGATGTGTGCACTCGCCAGAGGGAGACAGAGACGGCGGGACAGGAGAAAGCCCCCATAGGGCACGGTCACACGGCAGTCCCTTCTCTCTCTCTCCTCCCTTTTGGGATTCTGGGCACACATGCACACGCACTGGTGTGTTTCTGAAACCTCCGGGTATGGGACTTGGGTACAGCAGGTCGCTGGTGTCAGGACCAGGACGGAGCCCACAGCAGAGCGCAGGCCAACACCCAGGCGGGAGAGTCGGTTCTGTGAGACGAGGGGCCTGAGCACACCTGGCTCCACTGGGGCCACGAGCAGGGTTCACAAGAGGCAGCCTCCGCGAACACCAACCGGCTGGAAGGACGCACCTGCCCTTGGGTGGGCACCCGCTGTCCACCTGCGTGTGAGTGCGGAGCCAGGCACAAGAGGGGCAGCAGCTCCGCGGTTGGGATTCGGGCACAAGCACACACACACCCGGCACGTGTCCAAGCCCCTGGGTCCAGACTCGAGCTGCACAGAGAGCAGAACTGCTGGCCCTGCCCACGGGAAGGTCAGGAGGGACAAGAACTGCTGGGACAGGGCAGCGCCAATGGCGGCCAGCGCTGTGGCTGAGTGCATGAAGCATCCCTGCGTGGCCAGGCGGGAGCCGTGGACTCAAGACCGTGGAACGTGCACACCAGCAATGCACACGGACCTGCACGGGCGCACCAGAGCGAGCGTGCAGCCAGTTGTCTGCCAAGGACGCCCCGCTAGCGGAGGAGGGCACCAGCTGTGCGTGGGGTGCTCACAGGTCCACGTGGCCCGGCCGTCTGAGCAGGTGGGCGGGCTGTCCCCAGAGCTGCACCTCCTCGCTGGGCGCTGTTCACTTCCGGTCAGAAGCCCTCGGGAAGCTGCGCAGGCACCCACCAGCTGCCAGGCGTCGGCGGGCCTGGCCCTCTGCACTCCTGCTACCCGGCCTTTGCCCTAGGCACCTGGTTTCCACTCCACGGCAGGGGGAGTGCACACAGCACGGCATGTCCACGTGAGCAGGGTGTGACCTCTCGAAGAACGTGTTCACGTGGACGTGAGCAAACCCCCTTCTGTGGGACCTCTGGGGGCCGAGGGGCACACAATGGTCACCTTCACGTGAGAGTGAGCGTGTGCAATTCTCATGCAGTGTTAAAGTTTATTTGTCTTCCATGAGACAGAGACGGACAGACGGGCACGCAGCACGGTCCTCACGCCGCAGTGTACCCTCGTCGGCAGCCGCCCTAGTCGTGGGCACGTGTGTGCCCGCATGCTCCGGGGCCAGGGCATGAACCGAGGGCCTTCTGTGAGTATGTCCGCATTCCCACTGTGCAACTCAAATGTCTGGACAGGGGTCAGGCAGTGTGGCCCCAAGACGGCTGAGCCCCAGGAGCAAAAAGGACACACACATAGGGAACAGCCGAGGGTCCTGGGAGGGTGGGCACAGGCCACCTCGCTCACACTGGGACGGGAGCCAAAGTGACCATGCCCAGGGCAGCCTGCCCCACTCCACGCAGGGGGGTCCTACAGTCCCACCAGCCCTGGGTCAGCGCCGCACACCCCTCTCCTCCCTTCTCAGGGCCTTGGGTGGCTGGGACCCCCAGCGTCCTGCCCTAGATGTGACCGTAGGACATGAGCCAGGGTCTAGAGGAGGTGGGGCCGCCCGCCACATACTCCAGGGCCCAGGGGGACGCTGAGGTCACAGGTCAGAGCTGCATCTAGGGTGGCGGCTTCCCAGGGTACTGCTGTGAGCTTTTGGGGCTCATCCAAGGCAGTCCGGGGACCTCTCCCTGCAGGGCAGCCTGAGCGGGTAAGACCAGGGCCATAGGCTGCTTAGGCCTGGACACCTGCCACCACCAGGAGGCTTCCAGAGCCTGCTCAGGGATGACACAGCGCAGGACAGGCAGGGAGGTAGCCTTCGTGGAGGTGGGGAAGGAGGGGACGGTGTGGGCTGAGCACGCTTGTCCACGGGGCCACAGGGACACTGCTGTTGCCACATGGCTGAGGCTCCAGACAGCTGGGCCAGGCCTACCTCCTGCCTCTAAAGGGCACTCGCACCCAAGCCAGGCACAGGGCCACAGGGCCAAGCCAGGAGCTCCCTGCCTGCCGTCCAGCCCAGACCCTCGCTGGCCTGGCAAGCCGGAGCGCTGCAGCTCCGACCGCAGGGGCCCAGCCTGGCGGCTCTGGGTGGGTGAGGAGGGGCCCTGCAATGACAGGCCCAGGAGCTTGGCTCCTCTAGGCTGGCACTGGCTCCTCTAGGCTGGCACTGGCTCCTCTAGGCTGGCACTGGCTCCTCGGGGGAAGGCTGGTGGAGGGAAGGGCAGCTATGCTGGGGAAGCGGGTGCTGAGGGAGCCCCACCCGCAGCGGCCCGGCTCCGAGCACAGATGAGAGAACAGGCAGCAGGGAGGGGCAGGTCTCGCTGGGGCGTCCTGCAAGCCCAGGGCCCCCGCAGAGGCTCACGCGTACAAGCCGGGGCAGTGCAGAGTCTGCAGGCGGAGGTACAGGAATAAATACTTTTAAAACCCCTCATCACTACACATTCGGATTCTAAGAGCACAGGCAAAGGCTGAGCTCCGTTTGAAATGAGCAGAGACGGAATCTCCCACACAACTGGCGGGAGCGGGCCCCAGAGACGCCCCGACCTTGCGCGGTGGCCTCAGTCCCGGGGCACCTTGAACTGGTCCTTCTCCCGGCGGATGGCCCGCATGGTGGCCACGGGGTCCGACTCGCCTGCATGCTGCTGCACCGTCTTCTCCCTGCCAAGGAGGCCATGGTGCTGAGCGGGGGCCGGCCAGCCCGGCCCTTCCCGCTGAGGGCAGGCAGGCATGGCCGCAGCTGCCCTGCGGCCACATGGAGGCAGGAGCACCCACAGCGCAGCGTCCCATGCCACCCAGGGCACCCACAGCTGCAAGGCTCCCACCAGCCCCGGGTTCTGGGACCCCAGGCCAGAAAAGCCTCGATGGAGGCACCCAGAGAGCACCCCCACTTTAAGAAATGGGCAAGCTCCAGTTGCACAGGGGAGAGCTGCGGGAGCCATGACCCTGCGGCCCTGGCCCTGGTTCGGGACCCCCAAGATCACAAAGAGGAGCCCAGCCCGCCCCTCACCTCACTCTCATGAACGGGTTGTAGGTGAACTCCTCTGCGATGGTGGACGGCACCGTGGGCTCCCCGATACCGTACTTCTCCTGCAGAAGAAGGCGTCTCTTCAACATCCAGGCCTGGCCACCAGTGCCCTGCCAAGGGGGACTAGAGCAGCGCAGGGTGGGCTAAGCACCCTCCTTCCCCTGGGTGCGGGGAGCTTTCTCTTCACTAAGTTCATGCTGCTCAGAAAAACCAGCAAACACACACATCACAGAAAAGCAGCCAGCAGGACCAGCAGTTAGCGTAATGGCTATGTCGCTGGACTCCCATGTAGTCAGCCACGGTTCAAGCCCTGGACCCGGCAGCTTAAACTCACACCGGGTGCATGACAGTCCCCCCTAGGGAGTGATTTCTCGCTTTCTGTCTCTCTGTCTCTGTCTGTCTGGCAAGCGCATGTGCCCTATAGCAAAAAAAAAAAAAAGAAACTCTACAAAAAAAAAATTTTATGATTTTATTTAACGTTTTTTATATATTTATTTTAATTTCTCTAGAGAGGAACAGAGAGAGAGAAAAGTGAGAAAGTAAGCCACCAGGTCCAGGACTCGAACCACATTGGCCATGTGGGAGTCCAGCACCCCAACCGCCATTCCACCTACTGACCCTGCCTTTCTTTTTTTTCCTCTTTTAAAACCAATTTTTGCTATAGTGTATGTGTGCTCACTGGAGAGACAGAAAGACCACATTGCAATCCCTTCTCCTCCATTCTCCTCTCAGGATCTTGGGCGTACACACGCACACGCACACGCACACACACACACCTTGAGTATTTTTAAGCTGCTGGGTCCAGGACTCAAACTGCAGTCGACTATGTGGGAGTCCAGCAATGTAACCATTATGCCATCTGCTGGTTCCACAAAAAGCCTCTTAAAAAATGTCTTTTTAAATAAAGCACACCAGGCCAGCAGGTGGCATGGTGGCTAGGGCACTGGACTCCCACATGGCCAACAGTAGTTCGAGCCCCAGC